TGGGGATGTCCTGCACATGTCCTGGACAAGGAAGCGAACAAGTTGGAAGCACGTTCAGAAGTGTGCATTTTTGTAGGTTATCCGAGAGGGACGAAAGGGGGTTATTTCTATAACCCTAAGGAAAATGAAGTCGTGGTTTCAACGAATGCAACATTCCTTGAGGAAAGTTACATGAACGACTTTAAGCCTCGTAGCAAAATGGTGCTTGAGAAAATGTCGAGTGACTTGGTCATACCGACTGTTCCTTTAGAAATTGGTCTAATCAGAGTAGAAAAGGAAACCCAACAACAACCTAAGGGGCTTCGGCGTAGTGGGAGGATCAGACATGAACCTGAGAGATTCATGGCTAATGGGGAAACCTTTTTGGCAGAATCTCTGGAACATGACAAAGATCCTTATACTTACAAAGAAGCTATGGAGGATGTTGATGCAAACCTCTGGACCGGAGCCATGAAAGCTGAGATGAAATCTATGGATTTTAGTCTAGTCTGGCAACTTGTAGATCTTCCTAATGGGATTAAGCCCATTGGGTGTAAATGGGTCTACAAGAGAAAGAAAAATACAGAAGGAAAGGTTAAAACCTATAAGGCTAGACTGGTAGCTAAGGGATACACGCAAAAGGAGGGAATCGACTACGAGGAAACCTTTTCGCCTATAGCCATGCTTAAGTCCATCCGCATTCTCTTATCCATTGCGGCTGCTCTCCACTACGAGATCTGGCAAATGGATGTCAAGACGGCATTCTTGAACGATCATCTTGAGGAAAGTATCTATATGGTACAACCAGAAGGCTTTGGGGCTAAGGGTTAAGAGGGAAAAGTTTGGAAGTTGCTGAAATCCATTTATGGATTAAAGCAAGCTTCCCGTTCTTGGAACAAAAGATTTGACCAAGTGGTCAAGACTTTTGGATTCTAACAGAATATGGATGAACCTTGTGTTTATAAGCATATTCAAGATGGGAAAATGGTTTTTCTACTATTTTATGTTGATGATATTCTTCTCATTGGCAATGATGTAGGGGCTTTGTCATCAGTCAAAGTTTGGCTTACCAAACAGTTTGACATGAAGGACTTAGGAAAAGCTAATTATGTTCTGGGCATTCGAATCTTAAGAGATCGAAAGAACAAAATGATAGCTTTCTCTTAGGCTTCATACATAGATAAAATTCTCGAGAAGTATGCAATGCAGAATTTCAAGAAAGGTAGGCAACCATCTAGGTCTGGAATTACTCTTTCGAACAGTAATTGTCCCAAGACATCTAATGAAAGAGAATACATGGCAAAGGTACCTTATGCTTCGGTGATCGGGAGCCTCATGTATGCAATGCTTTGTACTCGACCAGACATTTGCCATACGGTTGGGATTGTAAGTCAATATAAGTCGAATCCAGGACCTAACCACTGGGTTGTGGTCAAGCATATATTCAAGTATCTTCGGAGGACTAGAAATTATATGCTGGTATATTCTGGAGAGGATTTAACACCTCTAGGATTTACAGATTCAGATTTTCAATCATGTTTGGATTCTAGGAAATCGACTTCGGGTTCTGTCTTTACTCTGGGAGGTGGTTCCGTCATTTGGAGGAGTGTCAAGCAAACTTGCACTTCTGACTCAACAATGGAAGCCGAGTATATGGCAGCTAGTGATGCTTCAAAAGAAGCAATATGGCTCCGTAAATTTTTGATGGATCTTGAAGTAGTTCCTGGTATGGATAAGCCATTGAGACTATACTGTGATAACAGTGCGGCAATAACTAACACGAAAGAACCAAGATATCAGAAAATGAGTAAGCACATAGACAGGAAGTATCACGTGATAAGAAGCTTTATTGAAGAAGGGCATGTGGAAATATGCAAGATCGTGTCGGACGATAATATGGCTGACCCGTTCATGAAGGCCCTGCCGTCTAAGGTCTTCGAGAAGCATGTCGAGACTATGGGGATGCGTAGCATGTCACATTTACTCACTTAAGTGCAAGTGGGAGATTGTTAGTATTTATGCCCTTAGGAATAAATGTAACAATATTCTTTGAGACATTTTGACTATTAATAAAGATTTGTTTATTTCATATATCTATGTATTGTCCTATTTATGTTCATAATAGTTGAATGTATGATAAGCAAACTGAATGTTTGAGAATGTTATTCTAAATCTTTAGGTCATGCATGTAATGTGAAGAACATGCGGA